GAAAAATCTGGCAAAGCATATTTGTTTCAAAATAAAAAAAAGATTGTTTTCAATGGATCTTTTATCCCAGAGTCAGAGAAAACAAAAAGAGCCGTAATCTCAATACTCTCAATAGCCTGAATCTGTGATATTTTTACTTTAGGTTCTCATATCTGCAGAATCTTATACCAGCCCATAATTAATTCAAAGTAAATAGATACCTGAATGGGACAGCCCTAGACTCATGTATTGCTGATAATTTGCAAGCTAATACTTCACTGATTCTAGATCAGATCTGACACAAAAAGTAGCTAATTTCACTCTAATCACAACACCTGTCACTCAATAACACTCCTTCTCACATGTATGAGTTATACCTTAGCATCAAATGGGCTAATTCTGGCTGAAATAATTCTAGTTGGCAGGTGGAGCACAAGTGTGGACAAAAATATTTATAAACTAGCAAACAAGACAAGACTTTGTAGCTTCAGTGAGCACCAGAAAGAAAAAAAGATCTGCACATCATGCCTGGGGAGTTCCCAAGAAGCCACAAAGATTAGCCTGACCTAAAACAGCATGCAGCTGCATAGATGCACAAGAGGGTCACTGAATACAGCTATAAGTCATCAGTGGTAAAAAAAAAAAAAAAATCTCAGAAAAAGGGAACCAGTGTAAATCATGTCTCTGTCTTAGGTTTTAAATCCAAGGCTTGTGATTTCTCATCATTAATTTTATGTTGTATTGAAGTGGTTCTTAAGAGGCTGAGATTAGAGGAGGGAGCATTAAAAGTGGAAAAATCTATTAATGAAACAGTTTCAAATTATGTCACATATTATCTGAACTTTTAACTCTGGCTTATTTTTTTTTTACTTTCTGTAATAAAAATCAAATGAAACTACCCTCAGATGCTGTTTTGTTGAATAATCTGTCAGTTTAGATGTCTTTAGGGAAAAGAGTTTACTGGTATACGTATATGTGCATAATAATATGGTTTCAGTTCAACCATAGAGCAAACACATTCCTAGCTTACAAACAAACAAAAAAACATTATGTACTTCATTATAATGAGCGTGAGAATGATAAAACTGGATTTAAAGTAATTTTAGGTGTCTTTAATTTTAAATTTTCTGGGTGAGACACCTTGATGGCAGAAACTATTTAACAAGTACTACTGAATTATTCAATAACATTAAAACATTACTTGCCAGGACCTAACTGCCACAAGCACCTTTACACAATGAAGAACACTCACAGGACATCACCTTTCTATTAGCCAAAACATAAAACATCTGTTCAACTCATGGTGTCGTGAAACAGTCCAAACATGAGCACATGAAACATTCACTCAGTTTCTTTTCCACACACTTATTGTGTTGTGACTGTTTGTTTTGATGATACTAGATCTCTATTGCACTTATCTCTCTGAACATGTCTTTGCATTGCTGTAGGCATTAATTTATTCATGGATTTGTTTCTTTATACATTTATTTACATGTTTGTCTTTTTTGTCGCTGGAGTATTCCAGACAGTTATTGTGGCACTGCACACATCACAAAGTCTAGCAGAAAACCCACAGGATGTGTGTCGGGTGCGTTCCGTTGTAGGTACCAGATGATTTCAGGCTGCCAGATCGGCTTGGGGGCTGAAAATTGGTCTGGATGATGAAGAAGACATTGGTTGGTCCACACATTACTGAAGCAGTTTTTGGGTAGGAGAAAACATGGATGCATTTTACTAAGCTATCTATTGCTACTTATCAAAGGGGACTTACGACAGCCAGACTACCGCCTCTTTTAGGTTCAGAAATTTAAATGTGGAATAAAAGCAAAACTATCTATTGATAAACGGAGATCCTAAGTACATCTTTTTTTTTCTTTTTCCTTTAGAAAAGTTAATATATACCATTGAAGCCATACAGTGAGAAAATTTCGAGGTCAATTAAATAAAAACAACACACTAACAGGAAGTTGTACTGCCTTTCTGTGGTAAATTTTCTGATAATGTGGATGTAATTATGTGACTGTTGAGCTTCTACTGAGGGGGAAACACAAAACACACAGGCCAACAGGCAAACCAAAAAACAACCCCCAAGCTAGTAACAATCAACAGAAAAATCCACTCATGAAGGTGGGACTGTGACATAGCAATTGAATACAGATGATGGTCCACTGCTAGACTTCTTTTATATCATGATATATTATGGTTTCTTTGCAGTAACTAGTAATTGTCTTTTTCTAATTAAAGCATAGCTTTAAAATTTTAAGTGTCTCGAGGCACAGCAAATCATGTTTGTTGCTTTGATCATTCCTCTTCCTTTCTTTCTCCAAAATTGCAAGCCCTCAACGAAAAATGTAGAGTGCCTCTCTAACATTTTGCTCACTGTAGCTCTCTCATGAGGTGCGGGGCACAAGAGACCCTGAACATGCTGACGTTCATGTTCTTGTTCTTCAGTAGTAAAAAGCATTGTCCACAGTAGTTTGGAGGTTAGTCTGAAGTTACAAAGACTATACTCGCTGCACTCAGCCCTTTGTCCAGGTCCGTCTTCAATGAGCAGTTCAGAGAAGCTATGCAGGGTCTGCCAAAAGCACAACGAATACTTCTGCAGCTCCAGTCTGCTTTCTTTTAATGACAGCAGTAAGAAAGAGTCACTGTTGAGTTTACACATGCAATTAGTAGTCTAGTCCATTATCTTACACACAGTTGACTTTGGTCATTTCATTTTTACCCACTGCAAATGAGATCATGACAAAATGTTTACAAGAATTTTAAAAGAATTTTAAATAAAGTATTTTGTCTTTAAACATGGTCTTACAGTGTGGGCACTTCAAGAAGTGGAAAATACAGCCAGTAAATCACTGAGAACCCTTGAGTAGCGTTTGGTGACTTAACATATGAGCGAAAGCCTTGACATCACAGGCAACCCATTCCATCCATTGAATCCCAAATTAAATTTTCACCTATAGGTCGGCTCTTTAGACTGCAGTGGGCATAGTTGATGAAATAATTGTAGAGTCCCTCTGGCCTTTCAGAGATCCACGCATTTTTATTTTCAGGGTTTTTTTCTATCAATAATCTATAAGGTATGCCGTTAGCCAGCATTTAAGCAAATGTTTTGAAATGTGAACTGTGTCTTATAAAATGCATATGCAGCCACTTTTAAAACTATTACAAATGAAGCTCCAGCTTAAGTTCAGTCAGGGAGACTATAACTGCCGTCACAGCTGTCATTGTCTTTCCAAGCTTACTCACCCTCCCAGCTGCCATCACTCAGAGCAACCATTGGTTAATCAGCCTTTCACCGGTGTCTTCCCTTATCTAATAGCATGGTAACACCCACTCACAGTCAGCCTATCCCCATTATGCACTCGGATTAAAATGTCTCGCTTCTCTGCCTCTGGTTCTTTCTCGCTGCTGGATTGAGCGCAGCACCCTCCACCTCTCCATCTCTACCCGATCTCAGCAGAATCAACAGAGCCACCATTCATCCATCTGGTCCCAGTAGTCATCAGCCACCACCACCAGCTTCAGGACTCCAGGGGGGATTTTCCTGCTGCCACACAGATCAGGTTTCCTATGATATCACAATTCACCCCATTGAGTCTGAACGCCTTTCTGTCAAGCCTCATTCTAATAATTGTCAAATAAAATTTTTAAATCTTTAAATGTCTCTCCTGATTGAACTACTATTACTATTCATACAGCCCTTAAAATGATTAAAAGGGGTGAAAAAAAACTGCAGTCATATCATATGCATTCATTTTTCAGGCCAGGCTTTAGATTTGTTTTGGTCTTTTTTTTTTCTTTCTAAAGTAATATCAGTTTTCCATTTTTATCTTCTAGGCCAAAAGCAAAGACTTCTAATAAGTGTTGGGGTTTAGTTTCCCTCAGTGAAATATTTCAGGGGTGTTCAGCTACAAGTCAGTGATGCTACTGGTTGTAGCATCCCAGCAGAGCAGAATTTTCACTCAATACTTTTTCACTTTAGGTTTACACTTCTGAAGGTGCAGCATTGCTAAGTCATCTGCTGTAGTCCAAAATTAAACTGCTCAGGATCATCTATTGCATAAACAGATCATTCACTCTGACATGCCTCTGTTTGGAATACAGAATACTGAAACACAGCTACACCAAGGCAAAGTAATCCGATTTCTAAATAGGTTTATAGGACAGGATTAAACAAACTTAGACTGCATGAGACAAACAAACAAAGATTGCTGTTCTCCAGATTCAGACTGTGGACACTCTCCCCACACATTCTCTTATACACTTAGATTGTTTGTTCTGCTGTTGAGAGCCAGCTCTTATATAACCACAATAACAAACTCTGCAGAGAAATGCAGAGGGAGAGAGTGAGACCTCTTCTGATAATCCCCCCTGAAATTACAATTATTGTGTTGCAACCTTTCCAGTTTGATGAAGGTCTACTTATGTAAATGTTTTATAAAAGCCTGTAAGTGAGTCTGGTCAGTGCCAATCAAATTCTTTTCAAAATGTTTAATGGTTAAGCATCATAAAAGTCAAGAGACCATAAAAAAAGAAAAGATTCAATAACAAGTCACAATAATCAGGTTCTACCAGACACACAGACACATGCAGAGCTCAAGAAGCAGAAAAAGTATGTGTATACGGTGTTAGATCAGTGATGTAGGCAGAGGGGCAGGGTTCTGGGAATCAGTTAGAGAGTGTGGTTGACATACTTTGTCACTTCTGCCACAATCACAGCAGAAAAAGGATGTAACAGAGAAGAGTGGAAATCTTACATGATCCTGATATCTTACTTCACTGGGGGGGATTTTAGGAAATCCTCAGGTATCAGAGTCCTGACAGGTACCTGTCATCTACCTGCTGTAGAGGTCCATGGCTCACCTGGAGAACACTGGCAGCACTGTGAGGGTCATGTTTTTTGACTTCTCCAGTGCGTTCAACACCATCCAGCCTTCACTGCTCAGGGGGAAGCTCGAGTGGGCGGGAGTGGACTGTCACCTAGCCGCATGGACCGTGGACTACCTCACCGACAGACCACAGTTTGTGAGGCTTCAGAACTGTGTATCGGACATGGTGGTCTGCAGCACGGGGGCTCCACAGGGGACAGTGCTCTCCCCCTTCCTCTTCACCCTGTACACCTCTGACTTAAGCTACAACTCTGGGAGCTGTCACCTCCAGAAGTTCTCTGATGACACAGCCATCGTCGGATGTGTATCGTCAGGGGATGAGTGGGAATACAGGACTGTCATCACTGACTTTGTCAACTGGTGTGGCACAAACCACCTCCAGCTCAACGCCAGTAAGACAAAGGAGATGGTTGTGGATTTCCGCAGGAGGGGGACACCTCAAACAGTTCCAGTGAACATACAGGGTCTGGACATCGAGATGGTAGAGTCCTACAGATTCCTGGGTGTCCACCTCAACAACAAACTGGACTGGTCAACAAACACAGACGTTCTGTACAAGAAGGGCCAAAGTCGTCTCCACCTGCTGAGGAGACTGAGGTCCTTTGGAGTGTGCAGGACTCTGCTCAGGACTTTTTATGACTCTGTGGTAGCATCTGCACTTTTCTATGCAGTGGTCTGCTGGGGGGCAGGGAGCACCGAGAGGGACAGGAAGAGACTGAATAGACTGGTCAGGAGGGCCGGTTCTGTCCTGGACTGCTCTTTGGACTCCCTGGAGGAGGTGGGTGAGAGGAGGATGTTAACAAAGCTTGTATCCATCATGGACAATCCCTCTCACCCACTGCACCAGACTGTGGCTTTAGGCAGCTCCTTCAGCAGCAGACTGAGACTCCCACCCTGCAGGACGGAGCGCTACCGCAGATCATTCCTCTCCTCTGCAATAAGACTTTACAATGAACAGTAACAAAACTGGATTTACACCACCACTTTTTTTTTTATGGCATTTAAATTGTGTATATTGTAGAAAGCTTTTTTTTCTTCTCCCTTTTCTAATTTTTTTCTTAATTATTACATTTATTTAAGTTCTTAATATTAGGACCCTTATTGTTATAACTGCATTTTTGCACTTTTTGTCTTGTCTGTGATGCTGCTGTGACAAAAAAATTTTCCCCATGGGGGATCAATAAAGGAATATTCTATTCTATTCTATTCTATTCTAAGTCCCAGACCTCATACACTGTGTGCACAATTATTAGGCAAGTGAGTATTTTGATCATATCATCATTTTTATGCATATTTTCCAAATCCAAGCTGTATAAACTTGAATGCTTATTGGATATAAGCATATCAGGTAATGTGTATTAGTGTAATGAGGGAGGCTGGGGCCTAAGGAGATCAAAACCCTATATCAAGGTGTGCATAATTATTAGGCAGCTTCTTTTCCTCAGGTAAAATGGGCCAAAAAAAGAGATTTAAGTGACTCTGAAAAGTCAAAAAATGTAAAAAGTCTTTCAGAGGGATGCAGCACTCTTGAAATTGCTTAGATATTTGGGCGTGATGACAGAATCAGCAAACATTTTGATGCAAATAGTCAACAGGGTCGCAAGAAATGTGTTAAGAAAAAAAGACGCAAATTAACTGTAAAGCTCCACTTCGAATCAGATACCAGCAAGGTGGAGGCGGGGTACTGGTATGGGCTGGTATTATTAAAGATGAGCTAGCTGGACCTTTTGGGTTAAAGATGGACTTAAAATCAACTCCCAAATCCACTCACCAGTAAAGGCCTTAAAAACGAAAGAATAATGACATGGCCTCCTTCTTCACCTGACCTAAACCCTGTTGAGAACCTGTGAGCCCTTCTTAAACGGGAAATTTACAGTGAAGGAAGACAGTACACCTCTCTGAACAGTGTCTGGAACAGTGTCTGGGAGGCTTTGGTTGCTGCAACACAAAAAGTTGATCGTCAACAGATCAAGAAACTGAAAGACTCCATGAATGGAAAGCTTATGACTGTTAATGAAAAGAAGGGTGGCTATATTGGTCACTGATTTTTTTTTTTAAATTTCAACAATTTTTATTTGTAAATTGAGTTGTTTGTTTATCATTCTCACTTGAACAAGTGAAAATTAACAAGTGAGATGGAAAATTTTTCATTTTTAATTTAGTTGCATAATAATTCTGCACACTATAGCTGCCCCCAATAATTGTGCACACATAGATATTCTCCTAAGGAAGTCAAAATCTCACTTTTACTCCCTTAAATATCAAGGTTTGAGGTTTATTAATATTTTGGATTGACCAAGAGCACTGTAGTTGTTCAAAAATAAAGTTTATCCTCAAAAATACAACTTGCCTAATAATTGTGCACACAGTGTATGAAAAATTGGCCTCAGGTCTCAGGAAAAACTCTCTCATGTGTGACAGTAAGCAGCGGGCGGGCCAAGCTGGCCAAGGACCAATGGAATGTCATCAATACATAGTACATCATTATATATCAATAATGTTTTTCCTGAGACCTGAGGCCCTTTTGTCTGACACCTAAGGCTGTTTTATCTGAGGTCTGAGACTTGACTCTGATACTCAAGGGTGTCCTAAAATGTATGCTATACTCCAGGGAAGGGGTGCAAAAATGAATAGGGAAAAGTAAAGAGAGGACAGACGGGTCACTCAAGGGAATTTAACCTCAAACAAAGAAAGATATGCTTTAGGAAGTAAATGAGAATGAGAATCATTTTCTTTAGCTTTGTGTTGCAGAGAGAAATATTAATACTGCTTTGGTTGGCTTGCTTTGGTAAAACACTGCGCTGTAACTTGATGTTATGCAACCTAGTGAATGTGTGAGTTCATAATGAGAAGCTGTCACCCTGAGTGAACAATTCACTGCACAGGATCTTTTGTTATCCTGCTCATTTTGTCCCCATTATCAGCCCAGCTCCTCAGAACGGAGATGAGTCTGAGATGTGTGCTGAAAACTACAAAAGGTAGAAGATAATAATTGATCATTTTAAGGACTATGAGAGAGTATCAGGACAAGGCATGAGGGGGGGAAACTGAAGGAGGAAGAAAATTATTTTTCATTGGGACAACAAAAAAAGGTGAAAGATCAAAATGAGGTTAAATAAAAATAATTTAAAAAAAAAAACAGCTTAGATATGCTTCAGGAAAAAAAGGCAGCGGGTGCTGATCCACATGAAACTGTTTTCAGGTCTAAATGCTCCTACACTCGTCAGAGAACACTTTTAGTCCATCACATTATCAACACACACTGTAAACACTTCGAAAAGCAACATACTATCTCCTGGGGCCTATTGCACGAAACGAGGATTAAGATATCCAGGATTAATGACTGAGCTGGGTTCAAGGAATCCTAAACAAGCACGTTGAGGCTTAATTGGTTGTACAAAAACCAAGGCGGGATGAGTATACAGTACATGGATTCATCGAGCCATGTAATACCAATCCTGGCTAAGTGGCCCATGCGGCCTTCTCAAATAGACTCCGCCATTGATTGCAGTTTTACAGATTCACCATGACAACAAGAGCGGCAGGAGAAATCCTTGTGGAGGCTTAAGAAAAAGGACCTCGAGATTATGGACTGACAACACTCACTTTTCAGGAAAGGCCAGAGCTGATTCCACCTTCTGAGGAGACTGCAGTCCTTTGGTGTGCAAAGAGCACCCCTGTGTTTTTTTATTAGGACTGTGGTGGCCTCAGCCATCCTCTATGGAGTGGTCTGCTGGAGCAGCAGCATCAAGACTGCAGACAGGAACAGACTGAACAAACTGGTGAGGAAGACTAGCTCTGTCCTGGGCTGCCCTGTGGACTCTGTAGAGGAGTTTGGGGACAGGAGGATGATGACTAAGCTATCATCTCTCATAGACAATGTCTCCCACCCCCTGCAGAGCATTGTAACAGCTCCTTCAGTGACAGGCTTCTTCATCTGTGCTGTGTGACAGAGAGACAACACAAGTCTTCCCTTCCTGCTGTCAGACTGACCAGACCTGCTCCCAGCAGGCCAGTTTTTTTTTTTCTTTAGCACAACTAATAGACAGTAACTCAGGTTTTCTCAGGTTCATCCCTGGAGGAGTTAATGATCATAAAGCCCCATCCTTTCTATCTGTTGCGGGAATTTACAACAATTCTGCTGACCGCTGTTTAAAATCCTCCCAGAGCTTATAATGCTGATGGAAAGAAGGCACTCAATAAACTTTTTCAACTGACAGCCAACTGAGAAGCCTTTCCTATCCTTGCTGGTGATGTTAATCATGCAGACCGAAAAGGAGCATATAGGGCTTCTTCCCTCCCTCACATCAGAATCTCTGACCAAACACCATCCTGCTCAGACCAGCATACAGACCCAGGGTGAAGACCACCAAACCCCTCCTAAAGCAGGTATGTGTGTGGCTAGAGGTAACTTCTTCTGCACTTAAAGATATATTTTTCTAACTTAGCATATTGTTATCCTTAAGGTGTCTAGTAAATGAATTGTGATGGGTCCAGAGCCAATTGTTGTCCCATATATGTTTTTTAACCACCTTCTATAGCCAGCCTGGATTTTTCTATTATGAAAAAATTTAAACTTTAATCAACAGAGCTTCTGAAATATACTTCCAACAGATACCAGTCACTGAGATATCAAACTTTATATCAAGAGTTGTATGGAGTCAAAAAGAGGCCAGGAAGCATTGCAAAAGCAAGTGAGACATTGTAAACAAAAAAAATTATATAATTGATCACAGAGTTTTTAAAAATTAGGTATTTTTTGCATTCAGAAAACTTGAATTTTTTTAACAAAACTTTTCTGCACTTACAAAACATTCTGGCCCCTCTTTGACATGGGGGCAGGGGTAAGATGAGTGGTGTGTCAGTGGGGGCGGGGTTAGATGAGTAGCGCGACCAAAGAGAAAAATTTAAACAAAACCATAGAATCATGGCAAACCATAACAGTGGTGGTTCAAGGTAGCCCAATGCTTCAAGTCCAGGATCTCAGGTATGTAAAGTTAATAAATTATTCTAGGATTTAGGCTTTATCATGTGTCAACACACCATGATAAACCTGAAAAGGCTCTGAAAATGTGCTGTAGCTAGCAAAATAAAGTAAACATAGAAAAATATTGTAAAAGCAAAAAAGTTTTATAAATTGAAAAAAAATAGGTTTTGTAAATGCAAAAAATCCCTTTTTTAAAATTCTGTGATCAGTTATGTATATATGTATTTTGTTAACAATACTTTACTTATGTTTACAATTATTTTTTTTTTGTTTACATTAGCTCTCTTGCATTTGCAATGCTTCCAGGCCTCCTTTTGACTCCACAGAGTTGAGGCCAAATATTTGGTTTTGTGACAACACTAACCTAATTACCTTTTCTTGAAGAGAACAGGACCTAAATGATTGCTGACAGTACATCAGTTAACAGTTTTTGGCATTATTTGCTCAAATGCAGCTGTCATACAGCGGACAAACTTCCAGTTTAAAGGGGCCATGGCATGAAAAACTGACTTCGTTAACGGGGGGGGGGGGGGGGGTGCATATCAGGGATAGAAAACCGCTACAATCCCCCCAAGTTCGAAAAAATTCCATCCAGTCATTTTTTAGTTATCTCCGTATTTAGGAACTGTGTGCTCAGAGCCGGCCGTTCTGAAAACTCCACTGACATGACGTCATGTCAGTGCTGGCGGGTTGATGGTACTGCCCATGGAGCCGCCCACTGACCTGCCCAAAAAGTTATCAAAACACCGCCATTATTCCCGGCTGCTCGCTCGCATTGCTCCGGTTAGAACCATGGCGAAAGTACTATCTAAAAAAAAGGGGCAGTGTTTGCTCTGTTGTTGGCTCCGCAAACGAGCACAAAACTCTTTTGAAAACTCCCTCGACGGAGGATTTGAGGACTCAATGGGTGGATTTTATTTATAATGGGAATGTACCCGCGGCACTTCCAAAATATCTTTACGTATGTGCGCACCATTTCACTTCAGACTGTTTTATCAACGAGGGACAACTCAACGCTGGATTTGCTAGATGTCTGAAGATAAAGAATGGATCCGTACCAACTATCCGTGATCCTACTACAAACGTGGCATCTGTAAGTGTGAACGTTTTATTTTGACTTACTGTTTAGCCTAAATTCCCCCCGGTGCCTCAGCACGGCCACCACGCTTTGATAAATACACCGGATCCGCGCCGGTTTACCAGATCCCTCCGTATTTTAGCCGCTTGCTTCTTCCCCGACAACTCCGCCGACGGGGACAAAATCCCCCGACGCGCCTCTTTTGGCTCAAATACGGGACGTACCAGCTAATGCTGGAGAGTCGGCTATCCTATTAATCAGCAAAGGCTTCAGAGAAGTTTTAGAGCACCAAAATCTTATATTGTAGCAGAGCTCTGGTTGTAATTTTTTCTACATGTGAGGGCGATCTGGCTGCGACATCTGTCACCCCATTGATCGCTAGGGTTGATTCGGCTGATCTGGCTGGCTAGGCGGGTGTCCCCTTCCTCCCTAGCCGTTCCATGTGTGTCCCTCCCGAAGCTCTGCGCTCGGTCGATGAGGATGACGTCCCCCGGGCGACCATCCATCGGTATACCAGTAGCTGTGCTCCCCTGCTAACACTGGCAGCACTGTGAGGGTCATGTTTTTTGACTTCTCCAGTGCGTTCAACACCATCCAGCCTTCATTGCTCAGGGGGAAGCTCGAGCGGGCGGGAGTGGACTGTCACCTAGCCGCATGGACCGTGGACTACCTCACCGACAGACCACAGTTTGTGAGGCTTCAGAACTGTGTATCGGACATGGTGGTCTGCAGCACGGGGGCTCCACAGGGGACAGTGCTCTCCCCCTTCCTCTTCACCCTGTACACCTCTGACTTCAGCTATAACTCTGGGAGCTGTCACCTCCAGAAGTTCTCTGATGACACAGCCATCGTCGGATGTGTATCGTCAGGGGATGAGTGGGAATACAGGACTGTCATCACTGACTTTGTCAACTGGTGTGGCACAAACCACCTCCAGCTCAACGCCAGTAAGACAAAGGAGATGGTTGTGGATTTCCGCAGGAGGGGGACACCTCAAACAGTTCCAGTGAACATACAGGGTCTGGACATCGAGATGGTGGAGTCCTACAGATTCCTGGGTGTCCACCTCAACAACAAACTGGACTGGTCAACAAACACAGACGTTCTGTACAAGAAGGGCCAAAGTCGTCTCCACCTGCTGAGGAGACTGAGGTCCTTTGGAGTGTGCAGGACTCTGCTCAGGACTTTTTATGACTCTGTGGTAGCATCTGCACTTTTCTATGCAGTGGTCTGCTGGGGGGCAGGGAGCACCGAGAGGGACAGGAAGAGACTGAATAGACTGGTCAGGAGGGCCGGTTCTGTCCTGGACTGCTCTTTGGACTCCCTGGAGGAGGTGGGTGAGAGGAGGATGTTAACAAAGCTTGTATCCATCATGGACAATCCCTCTCACCCACTGCACCAGACTGTGGGGGCTTTAGGCAGCTCCTTCAGCAGCAGACTGAGACTCCCACCCTGCAGGACGGAGCGCTACCGCAGATCATTCCTCCCCTCTGCAATAAGACTTTACAATGAACAGTAACAAAACTGATTTTACACCACCACTTTTTTATGGCATTTAAATTGTGTATATTGTAGAAAGCTTTTTTTTTTTTTTCTTCTCCCTTTTCTAATTTTTTTTTTCTTAATTATTACATTTATTTAAGTTCTTAATATTAGGACCCTTATTGTTATAACTGCATTTTTGCACTTTTTGTCTTGTCTCTGATGCTGCTGTGACAAAAAAATTTCCCCCATGGGGGATCAATAAAGGAATATTCTATTCTATTCTATTCTACATTCATATCTTCCTCCTTAAGCGTGACCCTCCTGGCGGCTTTGAATAATACATAGGATGTGTCGACTAGGTCGCTTCAAGTTGCATTTGGTCTGAACGCGGCTAAGAATTTCTTCTGGAGCCTCTCCCTCTGGGTCAGACTCTGGCTCAAACTGGTAGGGTTGTACAAGCGATCTTCTTGCAGCCATGACCGAGCCAGTGTAAACATAAGCACATGGCTATCGGAGCACAGCCACTGCCCCTTCCAGAGAGATGGGTGTAAAGTGGACGTGGCTTAGGTGCAGCTCATTTCATTAAAGAGACATGGCCCAAAACGGAGGATTTTGAGCGGAGCTGTTTCTAGCTGATAAAAAGAGCACTAAAATAATTGATCCAAATCGAATTTTGACCGAGGGACGTCACAGACATGCTTTTAACACACCAGGAGACTATTTTAAGTTGTGTGAAATTGGCATGCCATGGGACCTTTAAAACTGTCATTAAATTCCTACAGACAGGAGGTTTAACAAAGACACGGATACAGAAATCATTCTCCTACATGAAACAAATTGCTCTCCTGACTCTGCAGAGCACCAAGGCCTTTGTTCTTATTTTTTTTAAGCTTGTGATTGTGGCAGGCAGCACCTTGCTGCTGTTGAATGCAGCTCTCCCTCCTCCTCTAACCCCTCCCTTCCCCTAATCAGGTCAGCTGCATAAAAGGCAGCAGCTCACCTGCAGTCGGCCTTCTGATCTGCTCAGAGTGCTGGTGGTAGACCTGCTGCTGTTTTGTTGCCCCCATTAATTGTAGTTATTTTGGCCTGTTTACTTTGATTGTTTCTGCCTTTTTGATTGGTTCCCCCCCTTACTTGGTTTGTTTCTACCTGTAAGTTTGGTTGTCTTACCCAGTTACTCCCCCATTAGTTTGCATTCTGTTCTTAGTTACCCTTAGTTGCTTTTCTCCTTTGTTCCCTCTAGTTTTACCAACTGGGTTCGCTGGTTTGTTTCTTTGTTTCTTTGGTTAATCCTTTTATTTTATTTCAGAGGTTGAGCCCACTAGTTTGGGAGGCTAGGCACCCCGGGTGAGGGCCCTCCACCTTTGCATGAGTTGACACGGGGTCACAAGACTACACCGATTTGTTTCTTTTGTTGAAGGTTTGCAGTGTGTGTGCTGTGCTTCACTTGGTGAGTATAAGGGAGCAACCCCCTGCACTTTCCCTCTGTAGTCTGCCTCCCTTCTGGTGGCCTCAGCTTATCTTAAGTTAACTTAGTTTGGGTTTCTTTGATTTAGTTTAAGTTGGGGTTATTGTACTTTTTAACTTTTGTAGAAGGCCTTGTTTTAAATTTATTATAGAAATAAAATTAACTTTCTTGCCCCTTATTTGTGTTTTGTTATGTTGTTTTAACTTTATCCCTTTCTTTCCCTCCTAGGTTAAATTTCTCAGTTATATTTAAGTTTAACTTCATTTTTTGATCTAATAAACATTTTGAAATATTTTGAACTCTGTCTCTGCCTCTTCAGAACTTACCTGTGTTGCCTTATTCTTATTTTAGCTTCCTGTTACTGTTTTAGTTTGAAAGTACAGTTTCCTGGGGTGCAAGTCCCCAGGTGGCGTTGCTGGTTGGAGACAATATTCTCTATTTACGAACAAAATAGCACCCCCCCTTGCCACATGATCATTAAGTCAGAATTTATACACACACCTAAATAAAACATATGCGTTTCTTGATGCCCCAAATGACTTTGTTTCAAGAGTTAAGAACAGAGTTTACTGTATTGATCAAATGAAATGTATAGCGATAAATCATTTCTGATCTTCTGAAAGTGTTAAATGACATGAAATGATGTTTAAACTTTGAATAAATATTCAAGTAAAATGCGTAATCTGATGTGCTCCTGTCCTTACAAGAATACATTGAGAATTTCAAACATTAGACAAGCCATAGTTACATTTTGACAGGATCGGATTTATTATTTTCTTCCAAATTTGAAAAAGTCACACATTATTTGGTTAACAAAAAGAGGGTGACTACAATAGACTTAAATCTACTTCACAATCCATTTGTTCTGCTTTTTTTGTCTCCTTGTAATGAGGAGCAGAGAGGATTCTTGTACCTCTTTGAAAAACAGCTCAGTCAGCATGAGCTTGTCATAGTAATAACTGAGCCCGCTGCCATCCTAGAAAGTGATTTCACGCTCTAGCTACTGAGAGTCTTTCAAGTTGATTTTACAATTGATATGATGAAGCGGTAAAGTGGAAATATTAAAGCGGCTGGCCAATAAAAGGAAAGACACACCTGTCTGTTAGAAGAGAAAACAAAACTTCCTGACATGATACAGACACACACCACACAGCCTGCCATGTGCAACTACTGCTAAATGCCATTCTAACTTGTAAGCAATGATAATTTTCATTATACTGTGAGGTGAAATGTTTTCTTCCAGGGTTTTTAGTGAGTTAACTCTGAAGTTCATGAGTGAGACGCACGAGGAGTGTCAGGAAGAAAGGGGAAAAAAAAGAAAAACTGCTCCTTTTTCTTTAAAATGTAGGTTCACAGGCAAAAAATTATTGTAGATTTCAAGATTGAAGATGTTTCACTGTCACTCTGACGTGGGTGCAATCATGTGACTAATCATCTGCAAGTTGCTCCTCTTCAGAGGTAAATATTAAATGCAAAAAAAAAAAGATAAAAATATAAGATGATAACTATTGAACATGGGGCGTGTATTGTACATGTGTTTGTGAGTTTTATATATCTGAAAGTCTTGTAGCGTGGTGGGTGAAGTACTTTTGGAGCCCTGCACCTTTGACCTGAAGGCAGCATAGAGGACGGCTTGCTGTGATGGTGGAATGAGAATGGAATGAGTCTTAGACAACCCTCAGAGATCTCCTTAGGATATATAGCTCCTGCAGACTCACACTCAATGACATGCTGGGTTGTGTGCATCACTGTCTCCAGAACCATACAGACCATCTGCAGCACTAAGTGGTCCTCTTTCGTGCCCCAGTAGAATCCCCTTAGGATTTAGAACCCCAGGCTAAATTTCTAAATTTCACATTTCGCTCTTCTAACTCCTGCAGACAGCTTCTGCTGGGCTTCTCTGCTGACCACCAGGTAACAATAACTGCTGTCCAGCTGTTGCTGAGTGCCTCCTTTTCCCTTGTGATCCACAATAACCTTCTTGGTCTTTGAGGCAGTCAGGTGGAGGTGACTGTCCTGGCTTCATGTATTTGGGTTGGTCCCTTTTTCCTCCTGGTTGCTTATCCCTGGGATTATTTTCTTTTTTTTTTATTAAATGCTCATCATCAGAGGAGTTAAATGGAGCTACAACATTAGTAAACATGGATTATGTTGTGTCTTATGCTTTTATGGGTCAGATTTGATAACGCATGAGTTTTCTGTTGTTTTCTTTATTCTCTCCACTCTTGTCTATAATTCCAGACCCAAAGGTCAGGCCGCTCTTGATTTCATGTGACTAGTTGTCTTACTGAAATTTTGGGGGAGTCTCATCACCATCATCATCATCAGTGCCGGTTTGCGGAATGCACATATGAGGGGGCAGTCAGAAATGTGAGTTTTTTTGGTTTTTTTTTACACATTTTTAACACTGTTAGTTTTTTCTTCACGGCATGTGTCCAGCTTTGAATGTGGAGAAGTGGACTGCACTCTGTCAGGCCTCTACCCTAAGACCTGTCCAACTTGGGTGTCCCACCTGAGGACTAAAGCTCCTGCTGGTATAGCTCTTAGGCTCACTGAGGCATGCAAACCCCCTGACCACAATAAGGTGGCAATCCCTCCGGTGAAGACTGAGAAATTGAGAGTATAATAAAATATCTTTCATCCAGAGTTTAACACCCAACAACATAACATTTATCTTAACTGGATGGCCTAATTATCAAATACATTTCAACCTTAAAGACTTGTCACTATAATCAATATTTACAAAACTTAGCGGTAGTCATATGAAAAGAAATCACCAAGCATCACAAGTTCTCAAACTAATTTGTAAAACACAACAGATAAAGGGCAGAATATTTTATAACTTTTTTCTTTATTAGCTAATAACTCAAAAATATCCCTTCTCTCCACTATTCTCTCTCTCCACTCCACTATACAACAACACAAAGCATTTTCTCAAAGTTAAAGTGAGGAAGTTTTGAGAAGACCACCATAATTATATACCTTAGCAGTTTGACACAAAACTGTGCCAAGGCGAGCCCTCTTTATATGCAGTCTATGTCCAAGCCAGAGGCTGGGGCGGGGCTTCGCGTAAGGGTCTGGCAGTATTAAGGTATTTTTGGTGCA